TCTTTCCTTAGAAATATTCAGTGACTATTGGCTCCAGAATAAATTTAAAATTACTTCGCGTGTCATTTAAAACTCTTCGTAATTTGGAGCTCTCCATGGTTCCAATCAGACCAGTATGTCTCTTTAAAAAAATTTTTTTAACTTTATTAAATTTATTGGGGTGACATTAGTTAAAATTATATAGGTTTAAAGTGTACAAATCTGTTATACAGCATCTGTATATTGTGTTGTGTGTTCACCACCCAAAGTCAAATTTCCATCTGTCATGTATATTTGACCCCTCCTTTGCCTTTTTCTACATTCCCCCTCTTTTTTAAAAAAATTATTTTATCTCACATATCCTAATTTGTAGCCAAACTGGAGTAGTTATTTTGAAATATAATTTCTGACCATGCTCTACACCTGCCTGCCTTGGTCTTTGCTTACATCCTTTCTTCTTGCAAGGAATAATTGACTTCCTCACCATCTTTGTAAGAATTCTTACTCTTTAATGCCACCTCCTTCTTAAGAAGCTTTCTGAAGCCTACCATTAGTCCAAAACATTCTTTTTCTCTTGTGGGTTAGGGCTTTATAAATCTTATGATACTTGTTACATTACATACATAGTACATTTCCATTGTACTATGGTTATTTGAGAAATTTATCACTACTAGAATGTAAGCTTTTTAAAGCTTGTAACTGTATCTTTTAAATTTGTTTAGCACTTTAGTACATGAACACAGTATTAGATATATTAGACTCTTAATAAATAATTGCTACATTAAATCCTATAATGAAATAATCAAACTCTTGTAGCACTCCTAGAGGCAAGGATAAATCTTATGTTGTAGAGTAACCTTATTTCAGATTTTCAATAATTAATAATCTTATATTTGAAAGTGCTTTTCTGTTCCATGTTTTAGTAATTCATTTAATCCTAGTAATAAATCTAGTTATTATCACCCCTATAGGGGAGGAAAAATAATTTTCTCTCTACTCTTTTGAGTTCTTTGCTGGGACTCCTATAATAAAAGATGGATGAATGAGAAAAATAAACAGAAGTTTATTAACATGTATACTTCTCTGGGGACAAATACTTTTCCTCTCACGTTCTAAGTTCTTCTAGTTGAGCTAATAATAAAATCAACAGAGTCAGCTAAGAAAAGAAAATCAAAATTTTAATTTATGCTCTCAGAGAATTCACATAAGCGTGATATAAGACATTTTTGGACAAAAGAGAAAAGCATGGAAGGAGTGTTGGATTTCAGAAGTGAGAGAGAGCAATTTACAGCTAGTTGAAGAAGAGTGCGCCATACGTGGCAGGAACATTCTTGCGTGGCAACTCAAACAATGGCTCAGGGTGTTTCTAGCTAATAGGCACCAACCTTATGTCCTCTTATTTACTATTCTTAATTTACATTAGGCCAAGGCAGCATTCTAAGATTCCTTCCTGAAGCAGGTTTCTGTGTCTGATTCTCTTGGACAAGAAAGAGGTGAGGGTCAAAGGTGCTTTCTGAATCTTTTTTTCCTAATAAACACCTTAAAATCTATATCTCCTAAAGCAGCTTCAGCGTAGCAAAATTTTGGTTGCCTTCATTGCAGATCAATATGAATTGGTAGCTTAACATTAGATTTTAACCTCTAAAAAGCTATTGTATCCTAAATATTCTCCCAGAGTTCTGGAAGCCAGAAATCCAAATCAGTATCACTACGCTGATATCAGAGTGTCAGCGGGGCCATGCTTCTTCTGGAGCCTCTAGGGAAGAATCTGTTTCTTTCCTCTTCCAGTGCTGGTGGCCACCACACTTAGTTTGTGCGGGTACATTACTCCGGTCTTCAAGACCAGCATCTTCAATTCTCTCTCTGCTCCATCTTCACATTGCCCTCTCTTCTTGTGTATCTGTATTTTCCCCTTCTATTTCTTATAAGGACACTTGTGTTGGCATTTGGGGCTCATTTAGCTAATCCAGGATAATATTTCCATCTCAAGATCCTTAAGTGAATTTCACCTGCAAAATCCCCTATTCCAAATAAGATAACATGTATAGGTTTTAGGGATTAGGACATGATATTTTTCAAGACCATTATTCAGCCTACTATAATCCTCAAGCATATTTTTATGTCTGGTCATGTGCCAGGATATAGAGATGTAAAAATATATAGAATATAGGATCCTGAGACCCTGTAAAATTGTAAACTCAATTGGCTTTTTATTTCAGTCTACCACAGTATCAGACTGTGGATTTGGGTTAAGAAATGTTGGCTTTGCACCTAAACAAGGTAAGTTGTTTTAGGGCAACAGTCATAGAAGCTTTTGATTTCTGTCCTTGGACTTTGGACTGTGAATTTGGGCCTCAGGTTCATTATTTTGTTAATCCAAGTTTCCTAACTGACTTAGAAGCAACCAGTGAAAACTATTTTATGCCTATTTCCAGTAAAATGTTTGTGGCAGCCATTACTTGATCAATCTTGATTACAGGTGATAATTTAAGTAATATTTCCCTTGGCTTGATGAACTCCAATGAAAAACATTAATGACCTAAATGTAGTCAGATCAGAAAACTGATTCTAGATTTCTAAAGTTATGGCACTTTTACTCTGGGACCACATTTGGTACCAACTATATCAGTTAGGTTCAATAGAGAAGCAGAATAAGGGATGTAAAATAGTAAGAAGACATTTCACAATTGTGGGAGAAGCAGGGGAAGTAAAAGTCAAAGAAGAGAGTGTTGGAAGTTTAGTGAAAGTAACTAAGCCCTTCTGAAAGACTGACATGGGTAGACAAGTCAGAGCTTTCAAAGGAATCTACGAGCCAGCCGTATCCTGCAGCCAGAGTAGGACCACACAGTGGTGCTTGTAGAAAAATTTGTAGAAAGCTCTGACCTCTGCACAGCTGTCTCTTTATGTCCACAGTCAAGAGTCCAGTGGAGAGGCTGGGCCCATTGCTTCTCAGTAGGGTCAGCAGTTGGGAAGAAGAGCTGACCTAGAGCAGGGAAGAGTGGAGATAAACTGGAACCTGTCAGTACCTCTGTTTCTGTTTCACCATTCTGAACCCTGACAGACTTCTGAGAGCAATGGCTCTTGCTTCACTTCTGCCTTCCAAATCTTGTGCAGATTTTTTTAGCCAGACTATTTTTTGAATGATTTGAATACATGTCTTCCATGCTAGAGGATAAGCTCCACAGAGAAACAGATATTTGTCTCATTCATTGTGTACCCAGTGCTCATCACAGTGCCTGACTATAGTAAGTTTGTATTAAATATTGATGGCAAGTTGTGGAGAATTGTGTGGTGTCTTTACTATTTCGGCCTCCAGTCTCCTTAGTCTCGAACCTTTACTAATGATTAATGTCTGTGGACCCTACCTGGCTTTTCACTACTCTCTGTTCTTTATAGAAAACCTTTAACTTCTGCCTTTGGCTGTAAGTGGCGGGAAATGATCATAGCAGAAAGTACTAGAGCAGAAAAGCACAGAGGTGGGGAAATGGGAGGGTGAGAAGGAAGACAGTTTTACATGGCACCACACACTGAAGGGGATCTTAGAGCTATACTTCTTAGGTCATTATGTCTTTCAAATCATTGACTTTGTGTAAAGAGTTCAATAATACTGAATAATTTTTCATCTAAAATTAAAATGTAAATAGGTTTCATATTTGTGTAGTTGAAGAAATATTTGAGTACTATTTTTTTGCCTGAAAGTAGTAATGGAAATTCTGTAGATTAGAAAGAACGAGTTAAAAATTAACTTACATAAAGTAATTATCTAAAGTTGCTTGATACCTTGAGGAAGAAAAGGAAGGAGAAACACTGAAAAGTTGTTTAACTTAGACTGTAATAGGAACTGGAAATGGTAAAGAATAGAATTGGTTTTTAAGTGTTATGGAGCAGAAATGTACTTTTCTTTAAACACTTGAGAGTGAACTAATTTAGTTTAAGATTATTATTTCTGTCATAGAAACAAAAATGATTATACTGATAGTATACATTAACTTTGACTCAAATTTATTTCACTTTTATAAAAAAATAAGATTTTTGTATTTCTACAGGATTATTATGGATTTCAACTACAACATATGGTTGCTACTTTTTGAGAATACTATATCTACTTTTGAGATAGTCAGAAAAGAAGATATATAAATGCCGGTGTCAGAAGTAAAGCCATTTGTTATTATTAAGCATATAATTATGATGCAGGACAGGGAGAATCCCCCCAGTGGAGACTCAAGAACTACACTGGGAGAAGCGAGTGAGGGTTCTTGACCACGCACAGGAAAGAATTCAAGTGCATGGCAGAGTTAGAGACAAAAGGAAAGTTTATTAGAGAAGGAATAACCTCCACAGTGTGGTCTCC